GGTGGCGGCCCTGTCCAGCCCTTCCGCTGCGCTGCCTTGGGCAACACCATCTACTGTGTCAACCGGACCGGCACCCTCCGCTTCAGCCTGGCCCAGGATGGCGAGGTGGAAGCAGATGGAGGACTCAAGGGCGCCTTTGACAGGGAGCTTCTCAAAGCCCCCTTGGATGCCAAGGGTGTCCTCCTCCCCTTCGTGCTCACGCTGCCAGAGAAGCTGGACAAAGCTGGGGAGCAGGAGGGCTCCTTCACACTGTGAGGTGGCCACCTTGGCTTGTGCCTCCTTGACAGGGCCCTGGATTGTGGCTATGAGGGACCCACAAACTCCCTGCCTCAGAGGGGACCCTCTTGGGGATGTTGGCAGAGAGAAAGGTCTCCCCCTTTGCTCCTCTCCTCTCCCAAGACGTTCATCTGGAGCCACTCAGTGGTTGTAACTCTCCTCGTGTTTGCTGGGCTATGTGTGAAAAGCCAAGCAAATGAAAGTAAAAGCTGCTATAAAGGATCATCTCTGGATTATGTTTGTGCCAATTCCCAAGCTAAAGAGAACTGTTTTACACCCGCTCTTCTAAAAATTCCTGACAACAGTGTCATAACGGGACATAGTGTTGGTCGCGTGTATATCGTAGTTGCACTCTGGGCGGGAGCCTTTTCTGCCATCATTCTCTCTCCTGGATGATACTGAATGATAAAAAGTGCTGGAAATGTAGCTTAACTGAAATTGTTTTTATGTTAAGCCAGCAGTCCTGTGTTAGAAAGGTATAGCAAGATTATTGGAGTTGCAGCCTTTCATTTTTTTGTGCAATAGATTTTTAAGGAAGATGTGGCACTGTGCGGTCCCAGGAATTTCAGCCACAATGAGTGATTTAACAGATACCAGATTTAAGGTTTTAAGCAACGCAAATGTGTGCCACGTGTTCATATTTGGTATACAAAAAAAAAAAGAAGCAATTTATCTTTTTAAAATATGGCAAGCTATAGCAGATAGGAAGTGTTTGTATGTTCTTTTCTGAAAAAGGTGATGATTTCTGTATAAAAAGATAATGTTTATTATTTTTTTTTCAGAGGTTTTAAATTATAACAAAAGCAAACTGAAGCTGTTCAGACTGCAACAGATTTACATGACACCATGTATGCCACTAGAGCTGAGGAAAATATTTTGTAGTTCAACTGTTCTTTAATTAACTACAGGTCAAGGAAATTAACCTAAACCAAATGTAAATTCTTTGCAGTTGACTGCAGACAGCATAAGTGTTTCACTATATGTTCAGTATCCTGTGGCAAGAGACTTTTCCAGCTTAGTGCAAGACCATCAGAGGAGGATGTGGAAAACAGGAATGTGCTATACATGTTGATTATATTGTACACGAGCATGACATTTTTCCCTTGTCTTTTGATTGAGAGATTGCTTTATTTATTTTGATCTAATGATTGCTGTAATGAATAAGTACTCGTCAATTACAGTACATGCTGATGACATACGCTGTCATTTGGATTTTGAAACTTCAGAGCATATTGTTTATGGAGCAGCATCTGAACAAGGTGAAACGATACAAAGGTTCTTCCTGCCTGTGGGAAGCTGGAGGATACCTTTGTCAAGTTACTCAGAACTGGAAAAGCGCAAGCTGTCCACACAGGCTTACTATATTAAAAGGGCACTTGCTTTTTTTTTATATGTTTTATATATATATAAAAAAAGGGTAGACAAGGCAAATGTTTTAGCTTTACAGTAAATCACTGAGAAACCTTTTTCCTAAAACAGAATCAGTGTTTTTACTATTGATAATTCAGCCTGGAATTGGCACAATCTATGGAAGGGAATTGTTTATACTCAAAATTCTAGTATAGATTCATAGTCTAGAAAGACTTATGGTCCTTACATCAAATAACAGCAGTTCTTTTTATGTTTTAAGATGTTTTGGTTAAAGAGAATATAAACATTCTTATATCTTATTGCTAGTTCCAAAGGAAGGCAGCAGGCTCTGTCCTCAGGGACAGCATCTTCACAAAAACAATAATGAGTTCGTAAATTCTTCTTTCCTTCACTGCTTTAATTTTCCCCCCTTCTTCTCTCTGCCTTGTGCAGTGTTTTAAAACAGTTGATCTGAGTAGTCAAGCTCTAGGGAACAATGGTCCAGTCCTAAAAGTTCTTAGACAAGTGACGTAGTGAGCTAATGGAAAACGTCACCCAGATAGGAGCTGTAGGACTGCAGAGAGTGGTGCTTATCTTAGCCTGAGAACAGATCTGTGCAACACATTTTAGTTCCCCAGATGGAAGATCTGTTGAGGATACACAGATATTTTTTTTTTCTGAATGATAAACTTAATTCTCAAACAGGAATCCTTGGAAATGTTGACTATTAAAGAAAATGATGCATTTGCTTTCAGCATCATTTTTCATGTAAATGTAGGAAGTATTTCAAGTTCTGTAGTAAAACACTTAAGTACGGATTGAAACTCAAGACGTAAATGCTAGACCAGATTTTGATTTGGAAGAGACACCAGAGATACACAATGAAATATCCATTTTATCTTAAATACAGAGCAATTTCTCATTTAAAAATATTTTGTAGTGTAGACTTTATACTACAGAATAATGAGGAATCAAGCCAGTTTTGCATTTTCATTCCTACCAAAGCATGAAAATGCTGCCAGATGAGTTTTGGGAAGTTGCTGTGACTTAAACTGCAGAAATATGCCAGCAGACTTCCAGGAAAGAATGAAATGTTTCCTTGCTTCCAATATTTGTTGCTCTTTATCATGAAGAAATATATTTGGAAATACTCCTTCCATCAACAAACATTCTGCAAACCTGCAGTGGTGTTTTTGCTAGCTTATATCATTAGGAAAGGTTGCATCAAGTGCCTGGCCACTTTCACTGTTTACACAACCAAAGTGAGAGCAGAGTCTGGTCTTCGTTAGTAGCTGTCAATCAAACCTGCTTCCTTTATATGCTCTTTGCATAATTGCAGCCTGACGACTGACAACAGGAGTGTGTTTCCAGCTGCATTTCCTATTCCGTGGCCTCTGTCGCCTCCCTCATAAGCCTGAGGCAGGTCTGCTGTGGGTTGTAGTTTTGTTCTCCCTGCCTCCCTCCCAGGCCAGTTATTTATTCAGTTCCAAGTAAAATGCAGGTCCAAAAAAATATTAATGTAATAAAACCAGGATTAAGTCGATTTTATGTACTGAAGACCAAAATAGTCATTCCTGAATTCTGCAGTTTAACCTAAACCAGGTAAGCCCCATTCCTGTGACGTGCACAAGTGCTAAGTAGTTCCTCTCCACACTTTCAGGCTTGCTCCAGTTTGAGCAGTTAGGTGCCTACATAGCTTCTGCCTAAACTCCTTTGAAGTTAGGTGATGTGATACCCACGAGGCACCGCTGCAATATGTTTGACATAAAGTAAAGGGACAGGCTATCCTGAAAATGTACTGTTTTGTGTTTTTGCTTTTAAAAGAGAGCTATAATAACCTGAAGGCCAGAGCATTTGCGTGTGAAGACTGTGCTGTTTCTTAGCCTGCAGAGATTCAATACATGTCTCCTACTACATGATTGGATTGGAGAATTTCTGGATGCTAATCCCTGAACTCTGAAATGTTTATGCATTTTGCATTATTCAGTCATTAGCTAAAAATCTCAGCAATGATCCAGGTTATCCATGGTCCAGCATTATTCTTGTGCTCATCCTCACTGAGTGATTTGAGGCTAGCTGGACAGGCATACTCCTCTCCAGTGACTTTCTTCTCCGTTAATTTTGCAATTCCCTTCTCCAGGAGAGAATATGTTTTTTTTTCTTGTTCTTCCTCCATAGCATACTTCTGTTGTTAAGGTGCTCTGCTAAGGGACATCCTAATTTGAATTTCCTTAAGCTGAGTAGTGACTGAACTTGAACCTGCCACTTTATGTGTATGTATTCTTAACTCTAGAAGGTTACTTGGAAGAAGAGCCCAGGGACCACCTTTTTAGGGAAAAGCTCATGCAAATGCGTCAAAAACACACATAGGCTCCTGCAATGTGGGTAGGCTCTGTGCCCCAGCTCCTGCATGGGAGAAGGTGCATTTTCATCACGTATCAGTGCAGTTGTGTTCTCTAGAGAGCTTTCCAGACAGTATATATATATTTTGGTGTGCCTGTCTGAGGCACAATTAGCATAAAGACTGGGTTCCTCTCAGGGGCCTAAGCCTTGGAAAAGAGGCATTGCTGTGATAAACATGAAAATGCCTGTCTTATCTTCATCTAAACCTAAGTCCATGTTTGGATAAAGAAACAGACCCTTTTAGCAAATGTTATTAGGAGATGGACATTTACTATTTCCACCTATTAACTGGTTCCACAAAAAAAATCTCTTATTTCATCAAAGTCATATGTATAAGCTCTGTTTACATTTGGAAGTCAAATCGAAGGAAAAATTGGCTAAAGAATAACCCTATTTGATCAAAATAGGCTCTGCTAAGCAAACATGGGAGGGATGCTGGTTATACTCTATTAATGAATAAAATTGTGCAGTAACTGATGTAATTTTTGTCCACAGAAACAAACAAACAAAAAACAAACAATCAAAAAAACCTTGTAAATAAGTACCTGGTAGAATTTCAACTGATAAAAGAATGAATTATTCGCATGAAAGCTGCAGCTCTCCCATGCTGTTTGACTGGCCTTCACAGTGTTGTGTCCTGCTTATCTGTTTCTCATGAGCAGCCCATTGCTTTTCTGCTTTGTAGCAGCCCTTCCATTGCCTGCTTCATAGATGTGTTTATTATTATCATCACGGAGCTTAACACTGGTGCAGGGGTGATTGGCTTTGTGTCTGGGCTGACACTGAGTGCTTTCTGCTGGAAAGGCCCCAGAGGACCTAGACAGAATTACATCTTTCTTTCTTTGGGCTTTTTTCAGTGAGATTACTCTTGGGACACTTAAGAAAGCACCGGAAGGGGAAATGGGTAGTACTATTGAGTAGTTATAGTAATAGGCATTTAATGAATTTTTTTCCCTGCCATTATGCTGTACACTAGACTCTCATTGAGTGGAACAGAAAGTCTCTGCATAGCTGTTACCAGTATGATCATGAATAATATTGTAGCAAAGTGGGTTTTTTTGTTGTTGTTTATTTGTTTAAAATTAGCTACTGGCTAAACTCCTACTCTGAGCTGTATATTTGTAATAGTTCCACAAATTTACTGGTTTACTGGAACTATTCGGAATTTACAGTACTGCTGCTAAAAGTAGAGATAGACCCGGAAGCTCTGTGTGTAAAATTCTGCC